ATAGTGTGATCGTGTCTTGATACATGATTTAATATCCATCGCAAGTACAAATTATCTTTTATGCAATTTAATCGGGATTAATTGATTTCGTTGTAGAGGTGTAGATCTATTTGTAGCAATTTTAATTAAATAATTTGTCAAATGCAACGTTTCTCTGTCTACTGTGATTAATAAAAAAAAATAATTAACATTTACAAATATGGCGAATGCGTCGGGATGCTTTTAAATATATTTTAAAAAGATTTTGGGTAGTTGCAATATAAATAATTAATTTTTGATTATAAGAATTTTTTTAGTTTATCGAGGGGGCTAAAAACATTATTTAATATTAATCAGAAATTTTAACTAATTAATTGTAAAATTATATTTTACTTTTTGGTTCATCTTTAACATGGTATTTAATAGAAATAATTGTATTGGTGATATTAAGAACCGTTCAAAAAACAAAAAGTTAATTTTCATAATTTTATAAGATCAGTTTTATAATTCAAAAGGCATCATAACTATTTTACAAAATTTAATAATTAAAAATTCTTCAAATATAATCCAAGAATTTATTTAAAAAAAAATTTAATTATAACCAAGTGACCATGCAATATGCAAAAAAATACCTAGTATTTTTTAAATATTTTTATTGCATTTTTGCTTTAAAAACCTCATAATATATTATACGTTTAATTATAATATATGTATCTATCTCTACATTGTAAAAAAATTATTTTTTGACACAACACGATCAAGAACAACATTTTGTTTTTAATAGTTAGGTCGCAAATAACTTTCGTAAAGCAACTTGACTATTGTGTTTTGAGAATTAATTTTATACCATTATAATTTGAAGTATAAAATTAATTCTCAAAACACAATAGTCAAGTGGCTTTAGGAAAGTTATTTGCGACCTAACAATTAAAAACAAAATGTTGTTCTTGATGTGTCAAAAAATATTTTTTTTACAATGTAGAGATAGATACATATATTTCCTATTTTAAAATACTAAAAATGTTTATTATAAACACAAATAACATAAAGGTAATGCAAAGTATTAACAGAAAAATGGATATTGCTGAACCAGGTTTTGTCGATATTAACTTATTTAAAGAAGCCACAAAATCTCTTTTAAAAACCCGAAACCCGTTGTTAAAACTTACAAAGTCACAGCTTTTATTGTGTATTTAAAAGATCATTTGGCATTATTATTATTATTATTATTATTATTATTATTATTATTATTATTATTATAAGTACTTTAATAATGTTTTTTGCAACAAAGTAATTGTTTAAACATAAATCCTTACTAGCACAGTGTAAATGGAAATGAAAGCCTATCGCTGATTTATTAATATCGATTATGTGGGTTACTTCTACGAAACGTTTTATGTAAGTAAAAAATGTTTTATTAATTTGCAATAAATAACTAATCCGCAAAGGTTGAACTTTAAAAACATGACATGTTTCAATTCACTATCAAGGTGGAGGTTGTATTGCAGATTAGTCGACAACTATAACTTAAATTATTTCATTAGGTTTCACAATAGCAAATTCATCTATATATATTTATTTACACAGGGTGTCCCAAAATTGGCGGCCCAAAGATTAATTTTTATTGAATTCGCAAAAATACAGGAGTTGTAATCTGGGTTGCCTACCCACATTTGAATAATTACGGGGCTCGTCCGATAGAACAGAAATACTGCGCTCTCATTGGCGGATTTAAAAGTTAAATTAGTCGAGTTTACAGGATCCGGAATTTTGCGAATTTGAAAAAAAGGTAAAGGAAAATTTGACTTGTAATTTCAAAAATATACATTTACCCTTTGGGACACTCTGTATAGTTAAAAAATACTTTAAAGTAATTACTTAAGAGTAGTTATGATAGCGAGATAAAGACAACTCTATGGCATGTGGTACAATTGCTAAAAGATAAGCTCTCTTAAAATGAATTAGTGAAAAATAACTAATTATAAGTCATATTTGACTAATTATCATAGCGAAAAAGCAGTCACTAATAATTAGTCAAATTCTACTGAATAGTACAATTAGTAGATTTAAATTTAAAAAAAAGTTTTGACCCAGCCGGGGATTGAACTCAGGTCTGTTACTTGTCAAGCTTGTCAAGCTGTTGTCATAACCCATTAGGCTATCAGCCGCTCTTATAAAAATCAATTTTATTTGTCAATAAATATTGTTCATAATATTTTAAAGTTGAATATATTAATTGTGTTGCCGTTTTGAGCTGAACTTTTTGCATCTGTATTTGTTTTTATGGGTCATTAATAGGGATGGGATTTTAGTTATTTTACCTTTTTTTAACCGATGTAACTATTTGAAAACCAATAATGCCAAAATGTGTTTTAAAAGATTTTCTTTTATATGAACCTAACTTGTTTTCACCTTTTTTACCTTTTTTGGAGGTTTTTGCTTTTAACTACCTTTTTTATACTTTTGTTACCTATTTTTTTAAGTTTTTTTCACCTTTTTTACCTTTTTTAGAGGTTTTTGCTTTAAACTACCTTTTTATACTTTTGTTACATATTTTTTAATTTGTCATTTTATTTTCATATATACATATGTTACCTATTTTTACGTATTTTTACTTATTTTATTTTTTTTGTTCTTTTTAATATTTGCGCCAATATTTTATCCAGGGCGTGCAACTCAACGGTATAGAATTTTTTCTTATGGTTACAGACTGTAACAGTAACTTTCTTTACAGTTACCTTTTTTGTAGTGACTCACTACTAGTGAGCTTATGTTCTGTCATAGAACTTCTGTGTAGTGAGTCTCACTCAGTAAAACACAGTTTATTGCATAGAAATAGTTTATTGTGGGTATGTTCTGTGTTTGGGTATGCGGCTAAACAAAATTATAAACGAAACTTAAACTTTTAATGTTTTTTTTACCTAAAATGCTGTTTTTTTTAACCTAAAATGCTTTTTTTAGTACCTTTTTAGTTACCTATTTTTCAGTTTTTAGTACCTAAATATCCCATCCCTAGTCATTAACCATGGAGCTTAGGTATAGGTATGGAATTTAATTCAAATAATACTTAGTTGTTGGCCGCAAACGATTAAAGAAATTAGTTACTTTTAACTCTCAGAAATAGTCAAAGATGGTGACTAATCTTAAACTAGTCAAACTATAGTTTATAGCTATTTACGTAATAAAAAATAACTATTTAAAAGTGAAAACGACTATTTTATTAGTAAAAAATGCTGGTACTAATTCAAATAGTAGACTTTTGACTATTTCATTTTTACAGAAAAAAGCCTTTATGATTACAGAGTGTAGAAAGAAACATTATTTGGGGTCTTAGCCAAAGGACTTCTGTGGTCTGATATTAAATGTTTATCTGATAATACAATGATTTTTTTTAAATTCCTTAATTTTTCTGGGTAGTTAAATTTTGGGTAAAGAAGCAGTTTACCTATATAGTTTTTAATTGGTAGCTGACGTAAAAACTTGCATTGCCTTAATTTTTATATTATATTTTTACAGTTTTATTTTAATCTAAAAGTTTCACTTAATATCAAATCTAGATTTACTTTTAAATGTATATTCTTGGATCCTGTAAAAAGAGGTGTATTTTTTGGGATTATTTTATTAATTAAATATTGATGTTAATATTTACGATGTAAATTGGATACACTGTATACGCTGTATTTAACAGTAAATGTGCAAATTTCGTAAATGTATACAATAACTAGTTTTTGTATACATCTAACTGAAATATATAATATATTATGCAGTATTTTTATTCGAATACCTACAAAAAGAAGGGTTGACAAATAATGACAAACTTAGTCGCGTCATATACGCGCGACTGTAAGTGCGTCATTATAATGTTCAATAACACTAACAATAAGATTATGTAGGCGTAATCAATCGCACATCCCCATCCATTTTTGCGAATACGTAACTCGGTCGCGTACCTTATCCTCTAGTTCGAATATAATTTGAGCTTTAAGTTTTACGTTGATTATTTCCCTCATTATAATATGAACCAATCAAAAGCCTTGAATTTTCGAATAAATTTCGTTTAAATAAGCGATTAAATCACTAGAACTATTTAACAGCGATTAAATTTTAGCCTCCATATTGGATTTTTGTTTACGATTTTATGGTGTTATTTACAAGTTTTAACAAACATTTTTTAAAAAACAATAAAAAATAAGTTATCTAGTTTACGAAATATCAATTATTACTTATTACATACCTTAAATTAATGGAATTTTCTTTAAAAAAATATTTATAATTTGACACATACGTCAGATTTTATGAATTGTCAAATAGTTTCCTTTAATTCGAGAAATAATCTAGACGTATATTACTCAACCTATAAATTTAATCTGTCAAACTATGCTCAGTAAGTTTTTTATTTGATTTTTCTTTTTGGAAAATAGTTTCATGCAAAATAATTAAAAATAAAACCCCTCGACCGCTACGCGGTCTCGTGATTTTATTAAATTATTTTGCATTCAACATTTTCCAAGAAAAAACAAACAAAAAACTACTGAGCCTAGTTTAACCGATTAAATTCATAGTTCTCGTGATATAATATATGAATATTATTAACTATTTTATCAATATACTGTGTGTTAACAAATAGGAAACACATACATTTTCAAAAATACAAAGTTAATTCTTATAAAATAAAAATATTTCTTCGATATCTTGTATATGTATAGTAAGAACCAACAAATACACGTGATATTACCAACACAAAGAAGCTAAAACGTGCTTTATTTTATAGAAAAACCTATGCTAATATAAACAACAATAACATAAGATAAGTTTAAAATAGAAAAGTTCCTTTTAAATAAAGAAATTATTTTGCTTATTATAACTACTTTATTTTAATAAAACGATTTTTACATAGTTTTTAAGTCCTTGAAGTAACAATTCTTAAATAATTATTCAAAATGCCTTAGGTATATTATTCTACCAATAACAAATGGTTAAAGTGTTGGATAAAACAATAAACTAAATTAATGTTTTTTTAGGAAACAGTAAGCCCCCACACCCCCACGGCCATGGGCACTCAACAATTAAAGATTTGGCGGGTGGCATGTTAGGAGAAGACAAAAATAAAGATGACGGCGAACTGTGGAATACGGTGGAGGCACAAACTGCATTCCTCGGACCAAACTTATGGGATAAGACTTATGAAACAGACCTTAAGGTAAAAACACTATCTTATAATTCTTTACAAGCATTTTAAAACTGGCTTTAAGAAATTTTTAAAATTTTATAGTGCAATTTCTAAATATTATAAGTATATGAAGTAACATTTGAAAAAAAATGTTGTTCTTTAGTAAAGAATCTTTACATAAAGTAGAGTTATTACATTTTACCCATCAACTTATTTTTTAAGTTTTAAATACTTAAAAATGATTAATATGTGGTTAAAGACAGTGGGGGCTGGTGGATTTTGGGTTTACCAATATCTCAGTTATTAGACATGGGACCCACACCAAGTTTATAATAGTTTATAGTTTTATAGAAAAATTATTGGAGAAACGTATACAAGAAAAATCGAACAAAATTGTTTTTTTTTCAATACAGCGCCATCTATTAGGGGGCATCCATTAATTACGTGAGGTGTTTAGGGGGGAGGGGATCCAGCCAAACCTCGCCCAATCTCACGTGGGGGGAGGGTGGTCTCGGCAAATATCACGTAATTTTTTCTTTTCGAATGAAACAGTGTAAAATTGCAAGAAAACTGGGTTAAATTAAGTAAACAATTATAACAATTATTTTTTTTTAATAAATCTAATGGAATCAATCACAGATTAACTTATTTACATTAAAACCATGCATTTAAAAAAATCTCACGTGAGATTAAGGGAGGGGGGAGGGGGTCGAGCAAAATCTCACATCTCACCAAGGGGACACGGCGGTCCTTAAGGGTGAATAGGTTGACCAAAAATGTAGCCAAAAAATATTTACTACATCTAATTGTACTCCACTTAGGCTCTCTAAAACCATTTTTGGGTAAATCGCAGCTGATCGAAAAGTTGATTTTTTTTAGTTTTAAAAGAAAATCATGGAATTTTAGTAGTTTTGTTTTTGTAACATTTTTTTTATATCAAAAGTTTGAGTAATTTTAATTATTATCTTATTGAAAATCAAATTATTTAATCTTCTGAATAACATTTATTAGTATTTATTAATTGAAATCATTGGTTAAGTATCAAATTTTCATCCGTACTGCAAAAAATTTAATAAAAATGTAGGTAAAGGGTGCCATGAAATCTAATAAAACAAAATATGTTGTTATGACAACACTCCAATTGTTATTGAACAGAGAAAATAAGTTTTATTTGGATGTTTGTGCTTGTTGTGTTATTTAAAGTAGTGTTTTAAGTTCAAAGTAATACTGCAAAAAGTCTCTGTGACGGCTGGTGGATTTTGGGTACACAAATATCTCAGTTATTAGACATGGTACCCATTTGCAATTTATAATTCACAATTCACAATATTATCAACAAATTTCAAACTTTATTTAAAAAGTCCGAGTATTACAGATTTTATACCATTTTAAAATTTTTATTAATTATTTATTTACATTAAAAAAAATAGATATGATATAAAATCTGTAATACTTTTTAAATAAATTTTGAAATTTGTTGATAAACTGTAGTAAATTATAAATTGCACCACTTTAATTTAAATTATCTTAATTTGGGGGACAGGAGGCTGGGGGGCACACTAAAAAACTAACTTTTTTTCCCAAACTTCAATTTAAATTGAATATAATGTCACCATGTAGCTGTCGACCATTGCTAGTTTTAAAGGTCACAAACAAACACGCAAAAATCCTAAATGGAAGAACAAAAAAGCAAATTTTAGAACATGTAGTGAATGTTGCAAAAAGTTGGTAAAGGAATTTCCCACAATTGCAGGAAGCACAATTCTGTTGTCTGTTGTCCCCTTATTTTTTCTGATATTAATGAATCAAGAAATGGCACTTCAAATGTTGGTTTATTTAGAACTTACCTGGGAAAAATATAAAATTAATTGTTTGGACAATGCAAGCTCTGGTTTGAGTTTGACAAAAGCAGTAGTAGATTTTTCTTCTTGTCATTTGTAGGTTTAGTAATTAATGTTTCATGTTTTGTAAAAGTAGTTACCTAATGTTATTGAAAAGATCAAAGGATGAGATTTTTATTCAAATGTAACCAAAATTACAAATATTTTTGATATAACAAAAAATGTAACAAAAAAAACTAATAAAATTCCATGATTTTCTCTAAAAACTAAAAAAAAAATCAAGTTTTCGATCAGCTGCGATTTACCTAAAAATGGTTTTAGAGAGCCCAAGTGGAGTACAATTAGATGTAGTAAATAGTTTTTGGCTACATTTTTGGTCAACCTATTCACCCTTGAGGACCGCCGTGGGGAGGGGGGGAGTTGAAAAATCGCCAAAATTGCCTCACGTAATTAATGGATGACCCCTTACAAATATGAAAAAATGTTTTAGACAAAATCTACCTATTTTTAGTCGAATGATCCGAAACTGCAATAAAAAATAGGGTGTTCCATTGGAAATTTTAAAGTTAGCTCCTGTTCCCCCTATAAGGAGGAGAGTATGAGGACAAATTTTAGTACTGATTGATTTCCCTCCTCGAATCATTTAATTTTAATTTTAATAATTTTTTCGTAAAATGCATACTATCTGAGATGTCCAGAGAAGTTTATAAAACGAGTTGCATATTATACTTTATCTACGAGGAACAGAAATAAAAATTTTATGCCGAATTAAATTTATAAAAATTTGACATGTGCCATTTTAACCTCACTTTGACGCAATTTATAACTTCAGCCCGTGAAAAATTCCCAAAAGCCACTGCTGCTCACTTCAGCCCGTGACTAAAACGCCATTAAGTCACAGCTTGTCAATGTGGGAGTAGATAAAATATTTTTGTAAACATCCATTCTGCAAAAAAATATAGGTATAGGACTTATAGGACTTATTATGTTTTAAACAAAACTTATAGAATGGGGCAACTTTTTATTTTAACGGAGTCTTCTCTGGTTCTTTCAGGCTTGATTGTAATATAACACTAAACTAGCGAGCAAATCAGATCACAGCATTTTTCATTATAAATAAATAAATACAATGTATAAAACTTATTCCTGTAATAAGTAAGTAAATAATATCATATATTAAATCCAATAAGTACTTGGTTACCGAAAAATATTTATAATAAGTTATATGATATTGCAATCAAGAAGAGCCAGAAAAAAAAATTAATTAGGGAGAAAAAGATTTCCAGAAATTTCCTGACTTTTCAACAATTTTTCAGAAAATTAGCCACTCTTATATAATATTTGTTACAGATGAAACAAAATAAAAGTTTATAATTTTAATGCTTGTTAATTCTGTTCCGACGTGAATTTCTTTTAATTTAATTTAATAATGTTTTAGTATGTGGATCTGGACGAGTTCCTTTCAGAAAATGGCGTGTCAATGGACGGACTGGGATCACATGGGTCCTTAGGCCCGCTTGGAAACTCGCACCCCCTACCTAAACGTGAAAGATCTCCAAGTCCGAGCGATTGTATGAGTCCGGACACTATTAACCCCCCCTCACCTGCCGATTCTAGTGAGTCCCTAGGTAAGTAATCGAGAACAAAGTTTAAGACAAAATGTAGGGTAAAAAGTCCTTATTTTAAAAATTCCCATTATCAATTGTTTTTATATAAAAAATTTAAGGTAAAGTTAAAACTAAAACGGGGTCTTAAAAATAAATAAATACCAAAGTCCAAAAGACAAAATTGCATTTTATATCATTGACTTTACCCTACATTAAACTTATTATTGGAATTGGACAAAGTACCAAAACACTTTTTCATTTAAGCATTTTCTTATAGATATTTATTAAGTATTTTCAATGGACAGCAGTAAAAACCATAAAAAAGCAAATACAGAAATAACAATAAAAAATTGTACCCTATTAAAAATGCCCAGATAAGGAAACTAATATGGATTTTTATGGTTCTATATCATATAGGACATATAGACTATATGTCCTATATGGAACGACCTGGTTTACACTTTGGAATCTATATGGTTTAATATGGAATTTCATTTTAAAATGTACAACTTAGGGATTTTTATATGGATTTATCTGGTTTCTGTTTTATGTGTCTTTCCATATAGGTTTCCCTATATGGTTGAATATGGAATTCCATTTTAAAATGTATATATATTTAAACGAAAATTGCATATTAAACCATATAGATTCCCCTATATGGTTAAATATGGATCTATATGGTAATAATTTTTTCATACCCAAACCATATTAGGCCAGATAGAGCTCCAATATGGTTCAATCTGAACCTATATGGCAATCCATATAGAAATCACTTTTCTATATGGTTTTCCATGTATGGAATTCTATCTGGTTCAATAGTGCAATGCCTGTTTCAAATTCCTATATTGAACCAGATAGAACCATATAGATTTTTATTTTGTGTTTCTATATGGCATTTTTAATAAGTTATCTAAAAGACAAAAAATTAAAAGAGTACAAAATTATAATTTAAGGAATATTATTTGTATATTAAGTAGAGAAGAAAAAATATGGGCACATAATAATTTTTATCATTTACTTTATATTGATGCTAATATCAAAGTTAAAATGCTACAAACTGTGGAAAATTCAAAATTTGAAAATTAACTCCAAAAATATATTTTAGCCTGTAATTTATTTTCTCCTCTGTGGCATTGGGAATTATTTCATCAAAATGCTGTTTTGAACATTTCTTTCGGTTTATAAAAAGGCTTTGTTACTTTTTACCTGTAACTTTCACCTATGTAACATGAAAAATTAATGATTTTTTATTAAAAATATAACTTTGATGACGTATACAGGTCTAAAAATATGAGTTGTATTAATAGTGTTGTTTTGAAGAGCATCTAATTATGTACAAATCGCACCTAGGTAAATTGTAGTAGCGTACAATGTCGCCAAGCCATAGGAAATTTAAAAAAAAATCCTATATTTCCTCTTATAAATTTAAATGTAAATAAAAGTAATTGGGAATAATATTAAGGGCTGAAACTTTAAGGGAATTTTTTCTTGATATATCAATATTTTGCCTGGGGAGTGAAAAAATGGTTCACTATAATACGTATTATATATATATATATATATATATATATATATATATATATATATATATATATATATATATATATATATATGTATATATATATATATATATATATATATATATATGTTGTACATATGTTTATATGTTGTACATATCCATTTAAGTTTATAGCATTTAAGAAACTCCATTTACTTATATTTTTTTAAATATTTAATTTTAAATACTTGGAATGCTACCATTAAAAACTTAATAAAAATGACTATAACAATGCTTATAGTAATATTATATCACAGTTCAGTGATTATATTCAAAAAAAAAGTTGGAACATATAACTCTGTATTGACAAATTATTTAACAGCTTGTTTCTGCAGCTGTTATTTGTGCTATACTGTCGCATAACATGTAAACTGTACAAGAATTTTATCAGTGAATAAAAGTTTATTTTTATGTAAAATTGAAGGAGGTTTAATAGTAAAGGACAAAAAATATACAATATATATAATATTGTAAAATTAAATATAATTTTATATAATGTAAAATAAACTTGGTATTGCAATTTTGCAATACCAAGTTTATTTTTATTTACAATTACAAACCTTTTTTTTAAGGTGTCACCTTGCATTACATTTAGAAAAAATAGACTATATTGGGATTGTAAATAAAAATAAATGTTGTATTGCAATTTAAATATCTTTTGTAATTTATTATTTAAAATATCACTTAACCCACTTGCTTTATCCACTTGCTCCTTTAATTATTAATTTAAATTAATTAATTATATAAAAAAGGTAATTTTACTACAATAAATTTTTGTACGGCTTACTTTAAGCCTTACTAAACTTCAGAAAAACAAATATATTTTAAGCATTCACCATATTTATTTTTTGATCATTCATGTTAACCAATTTTTTTAAATTTTATTAATCGTCAACTTTTTATTAATTTGTATTTTTTTAATAAACCTGATTTTTGGATTTTTAGCATTATATTTTAATAATTTATCGTAAAATTAAAAAATCTTTAAATTAAATTTTAAAGAAAACTTGAAATAATTATTTCCTTTTTAAATTAAATAAAGTTGATAATAAATAAAAAATAAAACTTTAAAGTTTGCGATCAATGGTGAATGGTGACCTTACTAGATTGGTGATTTAAAAATTGATATCTAAGAATTTTCTAAGATCTTCTATTTACATCATAGAAATTTAGTAAGGCATCAAAGAATTATTATTGTGCCAACACAATTCTAATGTCTAAAATATAGTTTTTTCTGAAGCGTTATCAATGGCTTCGAGTCGCGACTTCGATCCACGGACAAGAACATTTTTAGATGAGGATCTAAAGCCGCAGCCCATAATCAAAAAGTCCCGAAAACAGTTCGTGCCCGACGACCTCAAAGACGACAAGTACTGGGCAAGACGCAGGAAGAACAACCTTGCAGCTAAGAGATCGAGGGACGCCCGCCGCATGAAGGAGAACCAAATCGCTCTTCGAGCAGGATATCTCGAAAAAGAGGTACCTATGTTGAAAGATTTAAAAGAATATAATTGATTACATTTTGATCTTAATCTTAAACAATTATTATTTTTATTTTAATTAAAAATGAAGAAAAACCATATGTATCAGAAATCGTGGCATGTAAATTGTTTTGCTCCATTTGCTGTAAAATAAATATTAATTCAAATGTTTTTAACAGCTTTTGCTACTTAAAAATACTTGGTAAAAGAGCGTTAATGGGGCTTAAGGTTTTTTTCGGTTTTGCGTCTCTAAAATAAAAAAAACAATGCAATTTTTGTACGATTGTAATTATATCAAAACGCTTTTACTTTGGACGGCAGGCTTATTCTAAATGTCCTAAATGTTTCACCGTTAAATAAAACAAGTTGGTCATCTGTTGGACCAGAGCAGATTAGAATAATTATTAACGTTATTTGATGTGCTGAATCCGAATATTTATTCAGTTTGGCAACATTGTGCTGTCATAACGAAGAAATTGTTTTCCAAGGGTGTTGTTCACCACTTTCTCGGTAACCAGATATACCAGGATTTCAAGCAAATCATCGCCTATTTATTGCAAAATTACCGCAAGATTAAAGCTAAAATGTCTTTCAAGATGTATTTTCTGCATTCCCATTTTGATGGGTGACTATACCAATATCTAGCAATCATCGAAAGACGATAAAAAGTATTTTGGGATAAAGGCATAATGAGCAACTACTGTTGAACTCTAATGCTCGAAGCGGATCCCAAGCAATAGAAACGACTCAGTTCCATTTATCTTCATTTCTGAAGTATCACTTTTAATTAAATATAATGGCCATTAATTGTCAAAAATCGTAAAAAAATAATTTACCGACTATCTCAAAAACTAGAACGAATCTTAAAAAATGGGTAAAGATTTGAATGTAGCGCCCTTAGAACAAACTTTTGTTTGCTCATGTCCAAAACCGTGCATACATGTGTAATCTTTGTCCAACTCTCCAAAATAATATTGCCTTTTTAACATTTCCATTGTAGATCTTTTTCCCATGAGCTCTTTTTTAGTTTGAAAGCTGATAATAGTTGCTGGTTGCCAAGTCTGGAGAATGAAAAAGCAATTGATAGTCCAATCTGCATTATGTCCATCCTGAAACAAAATTGACTGTTTGCTTTATCTGTCGATCTAGAATTTATAGACACTTGGTGTCAATTAAGTCACATTATATTCATGTGTAATTTAATTGAGAAGAGTACTCTTTAAAACACATTGTGTATTTTAGATCAGCCGCATCAAAAAGTATTAAGTAAAATTTATTTTAAAGTATATAATGTTATTTGAAAACAGATTTTTTATTTAATAAATTTATTAGGGTTTTCGAATTTTATTGCCCAAGCAGTTTAAAAAGCTCCTATTATTTTTTAATATTTTTATGTTAGGAAGATTTTATGTATCCCAAAAATACTTTCCGAAACCATGTCAATTCATCAACGATTTTAGTTGCTTTGCCCTGCTTTCCAGAATACCGATCGTATATAGGAACGGATCTCCTGCGGAAATTTCCTCTTCCATTCTCCCATTATTCTGCCGTTTCTCTGCCATTTCTCTACCATTCTCTGCTACTACTTTTTGGCAGATAATGACAGAGAATGGCAGAGAAATAGCAGAGAACATCAGAGAAAATTTTTGCAAGTCCATTGTACTGAAACCACAGACAAATTCACGTTGCTCTTTTTGTTCTGGTGTTAGGAAACGCGGCAGCCATCTTGCAGAATGTAACCATGTTTCTTTAAAATCTTTAGGGGCTCGGCTTTCTTTATGCGTCGATTGTTATTTAATGGAAGAATTAATTGAAAGCACTAGTCCTTAAAATTCACTTTTCTGTTTTTTACTAATATTTAACGAAAACTGGCATTCCTGCTAAAAAAAACTGATCTAGAAACTAGTTTTAAAACTCGATCCTTTTTTTATTCGGTTTTTGTCACGGTTTTTTAAAAAGGATCGAAAATTCAAACTCGATCCTATTTAATCATAAAAACACGATCGACTTTTGATTCTTTTTGATCACAAAAACAGGAGACAGAAATGATAAAAAATGATCATTTAACGAACGAAGTTTAAGTCACATACAAATGCCGCCAAAAACTGATTGCAGTTTCTTGTTCGGGACCCTTTGGTGACTTAAAAATGATATTTACCAAAATCCTAACTGCTCCTCTTTTTGAAATTTTTTAAAAATTCATGATTTTTTTTTTAATTTTTATTTATCTTAAAGTCTACCTTTGACAGAGTACCTACACATTTGTACACCGATTTTTATAATATTTGAGTATATTGTTAAGGAGATTTTGAGAAAACTTTTTTATACTTTGCACATCATTTAATTTATACAGGGTTAGCCAAAAATCGCTTCTTTTAATAAAGCATCATGAATTTACGCTTTTGGGATAACACGCAAAAAAGATATATACCCAACCATGTTTTTTTAGATATTTTTATGTTTATCAGGCTACAAAATGGGATTCTTATAAAAAAAATTGATTTTTTGAATATAATTAAATAAAATAACATTTTTTGGAGATAAATCTTTTTTGTGCAATATCCTTTTTACTATATAAAAAGTGATTTTAGGCTAACCCTGTATAAATCTAATGATGTGCTCAGTATGAAAACAGTATTCTCCAAGTCTCGTCAACAATATACTCCAATATTATAAAAATCGGTGTACAAATGTGTCAAAGGTAGACTTAAACAAAAATTAAAAAAAAATAAGAATTTTCAAAAAATTTCGAAAAGAGGAGCAGCTAGGATTTTGGTAAATATCATTTTAAAGTTACCAAGGGTCCCGAACAAGAAACTGCAATCAATAAAAATCGGTGTACAAATGTGTACTCTGGCAAAGGTAGACTTTGCGACAAACAAAACAAAATTTTAAAAAAATGATTTTTTAACAAATTTTAAAAAAAGCAGTTAGAATTTTGGTAAATATCGTTTTTAAATCTCCAAAGAGTGCCGATCAAAAACTTTAACCTGTTTTTCGTTTAAAATTTAAAACTACTAAAAAGCCTAAATTAAACAACATTTTAAATATTCTCTAAGCGTTATTTTATTTAATTTTATTAAAAATCTATTTTTTTATAAAAGGTTAATAAAAATGCCATTTTGTAACCTGATAAACGTAGAAATATCTAAAAAAAAATGGGGATAAAACTTTTTTGCGTGTTATGCCAAAATCATGAATTTACACTTTTCCTTTATTAAAAATAATCGATTTTTGACTCACCATGTATATATCAAATGATGTGAACAGTATTCTTTAAGTCTCCTCAATAATTTACTCTAATTTTATAAAAATCGGTGTACAAATGTGTACTCTGTCAAAGGTAGACTTTGAAATAAACAAAAATTTCGAAAAGAGGAGCAGCTAGGATTTTGGTAAATATCATTTTTAGGTCACGAACAAGAAACTGCAATCAGTTTTTGGCGGCATTTTTATGCGACTTAAACTTCGTTCAGGCACACCGTGTAACATTCAACATCTGTCATTTTATAAATATGACATTTTTGGCTGTGCGAATTTTTCTCACGATTTTTTTAATTTTGAACTTCTGTGCAAATTTATCCTATCTATTTTTAATTTTAAAGTACTGTGCGATTTTGTCCTTCCATTTTTTAATTTATGCTATTGTGTGAATTTTGTTTGAATATTCATATACTACGCATGTGCGTTTCATCTTTTGAAACGCGATTTATCTTTCGTAACGCCAAGTTTTGGTTTACCGTTGGCAAAAAAGTTTCACTTTAAATATTAAAAAAAAAGTTGCTTTAGTATATTACTTTCTGAAAAGTCTTTTACCTGCCAATGAAAGTCCTGTCAAAATCGATTCAGCCGTTTCGGAGATAATATAGTAGGTACAGGTACGTAGTAAATTTTTAATAATTCAAATTGAAAGGATGGAAGTAGCAAAATATAAATAAGATTATATTATCAAAACTTACAAAATGAGATTGAAACTCGATTAGGTATGTTTTTTATAATTAAATATGAAACAGTTGACGCATAATTAATAACATAATTAAACCTTACAAAATAAGATCGAAGCTTGATGATGTTTTCATGATTGAACATGATCCACTTGTACATCTGATCGAAACACGATTAAAAAGATCGAGTTTCGGCAGATTCTTTCAGCAGAGATGTTTCTATTAACTTTTTTAAAGGCCACCCTCTAAAGAATAAAATCGTCATATACAACAAAGCGTTCAATATTTAATGCAATTACAATCCATTTAATGCAATAACAATCCATAATGATTAAAAATACAAATAGAATCTTATGATAATATTTTTTTTTAGAATATGGGTCTCCGCCAAGAACTGGAACGACTGAAAAAAGAGAACCTGATGTTACAAAACAAATTGTCAAAATATGAAGATGTTTAAATTTACTGAAGACATGGTCTCTGATATATTTTACACCTAACAACCGATCACACTCATCCGACTCGAAACTTTATTCAGTGAATAAGTGTTCCTTAAAAAAGGCAACCAAACATTTGTATATAAACATACACATTTTAGTAGTCATCATGTAGTGTTAAGTTTATTACTTTAGTAGAATGAAATTTTTAAATATTATTTTTTGGATCCATTTGGTCAGAAATAATTTAGTATTTTATGAATGTAAAGAAATTTACAATTAGATTTAATTTATTTCTTTAATACTGTAACATATTGTATAAAATATAATTAGAACAAATTTTGTGATATTAATTTCGTACGTACGTGTAAAACGTATTAAAAACATTAGATTAGTTATACATTGTTCTTACTTTTTATTTTCAGTTCACTTTTTCATAAATCATAACTTTTTTAAAATTTTTCTGGAAATTCTATATTAGAATTTGCCACTAATTACTTACATAAATAATAAATAATTAATACTTGTCTAAATAATTTCTGACCACATTGTGTTTTTTTGCAAAATATAACTGCCAGAATCAAATTCAGGCAGTGAACCTCTGTTATACTTGTAGACTAATTGTTGATTGTTTTTATGTTTATATAGTTTATTTTTTGGTTGAAGTTAATTTAGTGGTACTCTTAAGCGAAATAGTAAAATCGTAGTATGCTCACAAAATTTACAGGGATAGAAAAAAACGTTAAAGCACTTGTTTAGTGGTGCTTCTTAGGAGAATATGCTACACTTATTTAAAATATTACCAATGATATTTTGTTTTTCTTTTGTACACTTGTTTATTTTATTATTTTCTTTCGTCCACATACGTTGTTTTAATATTTTCACTACCTACCCTAAATTTAATTTTTTAGACCTAATTGTAGACAATACTGTTTACCATTACTAATGTAGATTTAAGGGGATTTAATGAGGCATGCACGCCATTAGATTAATTAGATAAATACTGTGAAAGAAAAATTTCAATTTTTATAAAAGTTGATTTGTTCGTAAATAAAATCATTGTAATCATTTCTACAAATTAATTAAATTTAAAACATTGTATTAAATAAATCCTCGCTTAATTAAAAAATACTTATCTACAAATATAGTGAAAATATTAAAAATTAAATGATATTAAAATTGTTTTATTGATATTGAGGTTGATAATAACGGTTGTCATGAGTGCTAATATGCAAAATGATGTGATGAATGTAAAGAAAAAATATACAATGTTACCATAATATTAAGAAAAAATATTACATAAAAATGACTGCAGTTGAACATTTAAAAGTTCTCTTTAATGTTTAAGATCTGCCTTTTTGGGGCATGCCTTATAAATTTAAATTTTTAACTTTTATATCTGTTAAGAAAATGTTTCCACTGCAGTGGACTTTTATACCTGAACTGATAAGCGAAAATTTATTTTTCAGAAAGAAAAAATGTTTATATGTATTTACAAAATGTTATTGTTAAATGTATACTACTTACATTATATTTATTTAATTTTACATTACGAATGTACACTTAATGGCCTCAATGTTTACTATTTTGAATAAAATATTGTTGTAAATTTTATAGACTATGCAGCTTCTTTTTGCAAACCAGTACAATATTAATAAATGACGTAGATCGAACAGTGTTCTAATATAGTAAAGTACAATTAAAAGTGGTTAAGAACTGTAATTGCTATGTGAGCATTAAAAGATGTAAAGTTTAATATTGTTTTATTTTCATGGATTGTAAATATCGAATACGAACGTTTATTAAACAAATAATTATTTAAAAAATGGTAAAAATTCAGTATTTTTAATATATCTGTCTTCTAAATAAAATTTGTCGACAGCATCAAATACTTTATTTTTTCTGAAAAAAAAACTAGGTATAGGTACAGCTCCCAATGTAGATAAAAAACTATATCGAGGGCGTCATATCAGAAGGGCGTAAGCGCCACTATGGTCGGATTTGGTTTTTTTGGGCGTATGGGCTTATTTTATCAATCCGCTTGATATATCAGAAGGGAGTGAACATCGGCACTCTATATCAACCCATTTTACTTAGGCGTATGAACCAATAAGCCCATACGCCCAAAAAACCCAAACCCGACCATAGTGGCCCTTGCGCCCTTTTGATATGACACCCTCGATATGTTTTGTTGACATTTGCCACAAAAATTCTATTTTCAACAAATTATAATTTTTAGTTTCAATTCGTTAATTCACGAAATTTAAAGTATATACAATAAGCATATACAAAAGTGCTCTTTCAGTTCCAAACTTACTTCCTAAGAAGTCCCAGACGCCAACTGAATGGCTTGAGCGGGTTAGGGATAGGAACGGACCGCGGGCTTAAAGTCCCCTTAAAAGGACTAATACACAATAGAACAAACACAAATAAACAACCATACCAATGTGGGACTCGAACCCACGACCTCTCAGCTTGTAGTCAGCAGCACTGACCAGTAGTCCACCGTCGGCGGTATATTGTGTAGGTACCATATCTTGCAAGAGCTTACGTAACTTAAATTAGCCTTTATAAGTTAACTTACAGTAATTACTGTCCAACCTACACAAAACAGATTTCATTTAGCCAAAGAACCAAGGTTTTTTGTTTCGTCATTAATTTCGAATGTCAAAAACCGGTGTTTCGATACAGGTACGTCCGGTATACATTCCAGAAAATGTAAAGAAAACACCAAATTGTAATGTCTGTGCTTATGCCCGTATGCACCGTATGGACTTAATTTCGATTAGGAGTTTAATCTCGTCTAGTTCGAAATTTTGTAATGCACCACGCGAAAAATGTAGTGTTCGATTACGAGATTCACCGGTGAGGTAGGTTTAATCGCAGGATTAACTGATTTTCTAACCAACTTTTTTAGTTTAGTTTATTAGGATTGTGCTTTCGTTGTAGTGGATTTCAAGAACTAGTATAATTAAATTATGGATTTCCCTGGCGAAAATGAAATGTGCAAAATTATTTGAGAACAATGTGCCAACAATGTGCAATCTTTTAAAAAAATTATGTGCGTAGGGTGGGAAATGGAACAAAACCAAAAATTTAAAAGTGTGAATAATCACTGGACAATGTTCTAAAGGGAACTCCTTTTGATTTTTCACATTGTTTGCACACTGTTTCTTGCCACTTGTGTGCCTATTAAAATATAATGTAATATAAGCGTGTCATATGACAAATAAAAAGCGTGATGTCAATGTACATAAAGAGTAAAAAAACTTAATTATTTCAAAAAGTGTGAAATTACCACAAAGTAGCGTGTATGCACATTGCTATAAAGACTTGCACTCCAAATTCACACTTATTGCACTCTTTTCATGCACACTTTATTTTCGCCAGGGTTAGAAGAAGAACTATTTGTAGAAGATGATCAAGATATTCTTTTGGATTTCCGCGTCGAAATTATGAAAGGAGCAAATATTTTGACACCATGGACAATTTTTCAATTTTGGTTTCTTCAAATATTTGAACATCTTCTTTTTCTTGCTTATTATAATATCCGTCTGTTAATGAATGTTGCCCTGTTTGTTGTTTCTTAGTTTAAAATTTTCATTTGTACTATTATTTTGCTGGTTCAAATTATCAGAATCAAATTCTGAATAAAACCCTTTAACAATCTATTCATTTAATATTATAAGATGTAATGCAATTATGCACCCAAGTTGGGCAAAATATGCAAAAAATGTAACGATAATTAATGAAAAATATTTCAAGCAACCCAATCTTCAGAGAGCGAGTCTGCCATTTTAGTGGCCGAATCAAACGCCGATACCGATAAAAATCTATGAAATACCGATCCTCGCTTAATTGGGATATATTATCTCAAGAACCTAATAAAACAAAAAGATTTAACTATTGAAAACCAACAACTGACAATTAATTCGTTAAAAGAACAAATTAATTTAATAAACCAATTTAAAAACTTTCATAAACCAATGCCAACAAATAAGAATAATAATAAACTGAAAGACACAAAACCCGTAAAAAATAAAAAAAAATCGCCCCCAACAAAGAAACTAAATTGATTAACAAAACTCAAAAAGGTAATTACCCTTAAGGCCTCGTCTTCAGCTAGTGTAATAACTCCTCAAGCTGTCTCGGGAGCGATTTGGGAAGCATCAACTAAGAAACTATGCAATGACTAAATAAATATAGAAAACCTTCTGCTGAAAATTCATGGGTCGAAGTAACAAAAAAAACAATAATAGGCCTTCCAAAACCGCTGTTATAGGCAACCTAAAAACAACCAGTGCATTAAAGATCGTTCAAAAAAATCATTCGTCTATGTCTCGAGACTAGACCCCAGCAATGTAACCAATTAATTGACTATCTTAAGGATAGCTTCCCAGAAATTACTTGGCATGAACTGCCATCCAAATATCCAAATCACTACGCATCGTTTAAACTAAGTGTAGATCTATGCCACTTCGAGAGTATTATGAAACCAAACCGTTGGCCTCAAGGAACCTTTCTAAATAGGTTTTTTCACCCAAGAGAGACAACAATACCAAAAACTTAAAACATTTATCACTTAATAGTAACCATAACATTAACATCTACCATCAGAATGTAAGAAGCCTTAAAACGAAAATGTCACACCTAACCTGACTTACTAATGAATTAAATTCTTCTGAACTGAGAATGAGTATGTATAATATCTATAGATATGACCGCAGCCCTCTATCAAGCAGCAAACAACGAGGGGGTGGGGTTCTTATTCCTATTAAAAAATCTATTTCATCTAGATTATTTACTCCAAAGAAGAATAATGTGGAACAAGTTTTTATTACCTGTATTTTAAATAGTCAAAATTACACAATAGGATGTGTCTACCTTCCACCTGACTGTAATGAACAACTCTATGAGGATCACTGCCAATCCATTGAAGAGATCATCAATCAGTTTGCAGATCATAACGTGTTGCTGTGCGGTGATTACAATCTTCCAAAAACACTATGGATCAACGAAGAACTTGGTCTGAGAGCTGAAGAAAACATGAATGAAAAATCTCCGAACATTTTGCATATTTCAACTTATTTCAAAATAACACAATAAAAAATGTCCAGGGCTCAATGTTGGACCTTAGTTTTTCATCTGATCTTAATTTAAAAGTAGAAACTGCATTGGATATTTTAATACCATGGGATGTCTACCATCCTAGTTTAAACATAACAACTCCGTTCATCAACAAAGAACAAATGTTGCAAGAGTACTATTATTATGACTTTAAAAACTGTAACTTTAATGATCTTAATGGTGATCTCGCAACTATTA